CATGCAAGCAAGCAGGTAAAGTTAAGCCCTATTAATGGCAGATGACGATATCATTCTAAACTAAATAGATAAAAGTCGAATGTTGAAAAGGAATTAGAAGCCATTGTGCAAAAAAACATATTTATCTGGGGGCAGATAATGTCCCACCTTCTAATGTTTTTGCAGAGAAAACTTTGTGGAACTACAAGAGCCAGATTGTGGGTCAAATTGCATGTGCTTGCAAATATCATAATAAAATCATGCAACATAAACATATAAATAAATAAATGACATATAAATAAATACATACATCGTATTATAAATAATACATATGATCCTGTGAGTGCAAACATGAAATACGAGTAAAATTATCTGAGTTTGGAATAAAATATATAAAAACATATAGACCATATAAAAAATATATATAAAAAATATACAACCACCTGTATGGGTGAAAAGATACATAACCCTGGGATGTGGGATGTGGTAATAGAGAAGAATATATAATATAAATAATGCATTAACATGAATTGGAAAAACAAACGTCACATGTAGACGTACCCACCAGATGTGAAGTCTGGTACCATAAAAATTGGATAAGGTAAAAAACTAATTAAATCGACCAAAAATAATGGGATATGATCTGAGTTAGAAATGGATATAGTCATCCCTGAATTGGAAATCAGATTAATCATGTGGCCTTGGGTAAATGTTAAAGGTCTAAAATCATGGAAATACAGCGGATCAGCAGTAACGGTAGTAAACGAGTGATGTATGAATAGGCCAACAGGAATTAGTAATAGAAATAGACTTACAGTCAGTGTAAAGAACAACTAGCTGGGATCAATAAAGCAATTAATGTCTACATCAATGTTGAGGCCCTCTGGTTTAAGCGTTCTCAATAAAAGAATCCATTTTGTCTCTAACATGGAGACTGCCCGACGTTTGAACACCCCTCTCCATTGTCTCTTAACTACCTGCCGATCGCAGATAGCCAAATGACGGCTGCACTGCAGCTGGCCAGTTCTGGGTGGACGTCATATGACGTCCTCCCAGAACGCGCTCTCCTGCGCGCCCCCAGGGGGCGTGCACCCGGCGATCTCCGTGATCGCTGTGTCCTATGGACACAGCTGATCACGTGATGTGGTAAAAGGCCAATCACAGCGGCCTTTTACCACCTGATCAGCGGTGTCCAATGACACGCTAATCACAGGGAAATGCAAGTGCCGGTTCTCGGCTTCACTTTCCTCACGGTGTCAGATCGTGAGGAAAGTACTGCAGAGAACCGGCAGTTGTCAGAGCGGGGATCGGCACTGATGATCAGTGCCCTGATGATCGGTGCCCAGCAGTGACACCCGCAAGTTTCCGCCCAGCAGTGCGCCCACTAGCTCCGCCCACCCGTGCCCAGCAGTGCACCCACCTGTGCCCAGCAGTGCCCCCACCTGTGCCCAGCAGTGCCCCGACCTGTGCCCAGCAGTGCACCCACCTGTGCCACTCTGCAGTGCCACCTACCTGTGCCCAGAAGTGCCACCTACATGTGCCCAGCAGTGCCACCCACCTGTGCCCACCCACCTGTGCCCACCAGTGCCACCCACCTGTGCCCACCCACCAGTGCTGCCCACCAGTGCCACCCACCAGTGCAGCCCAGCAGTGCTGCCAGACAGTGCCACCAGTCAGTGCCCAGGGGTTGTGCCAGTCAGTGCCGCCAGTCAGTGCCCAGCAGTGATGCCAGTCAGTGCCGTCTATCAGTACCCATAATCAGTGTCACCTATCAGTGCTGCATATCAGTGCCGCCTATCCGTGACCCCTAATTAGTGCTGTCTATCAGTGCCGCCTATCCGTGCCACCTCATTAGTACTGCCTATCAGTGCCCTTTAGTGCTGCCTATCAGTGCCCATCAGTGCCGCCTATCAGTGCCCATCAGTGCTGCCTCATCAACGCACATCAGTGAAGGAGAAAAAATACCTGTTTGAAAAATTTTATAAAAGAAACAAATAAACTTTTTTTTTTTTTCAAATTTTTTTTATTTATAGCGCAAAAAGTAAAGTGCCCAGTGGCGATTAAATACCACCAAAAGAAAGCTCTATTTGTGAGAAAAAAATGACCAAAATTTCATATGGGTACAATGTTGCATGACCGCGCAATTGTCAATCAAAGTGCGGCAGCGCTGAAAGCTGAAAATTGGCCTGGTAAATAAGGGGGTATAAGTGCCTGGTAGGCAAGTGGTTAATCATGTCTATACCGACAAATTGTAGGCAATGTGGGTTTCTATTTTGTTTTTTTCCAAAAATGCATGGATACCGAATGTTCTTTAACCCTTTCTTGATATTACACAGGTGTTCCCTTAATCTGTCCCTTAATCTCCTAGTTGTTCTTCCTATATATTGTTTGCCGCATGAGCATTCAAGAAGATACACTACATGCGTACTATTACAAGTAATGACTGACTGTATGTCGTAAAATCTTCCTATCTGGTTAGAGCAAATAGATGTCACCTTTTTTTGTGAATGCCATTACTGACGCAATCATGCATCTATTGCACGGAAAAACCTTTACGACTGAAGAAAAAGGATAACTGCTTGGGTGGGTCCACTACATTCGGAGCTAATGAGTTCCTCAGCGGGAGTGCTTTACGATAAATGATTTCGTGAGCATCCGGTACGGCCTCTCCTAAGATGGGGTCATTTTTACCTATAGCCCAATTGTTTTTTATCATTTTCGCAATTTGTTTAAATTGGACAGAAAAACCAGTAACAAACGGACAAACCCTGTCTTTCTTAATTAGGTTTTAGTCCTTGGTTGTCAGGAGATTACTTCCATCCAGATTACCCACTTCCTTGATTTTATCATCTAAAATCACGGGGTCATTACCTTTCTCCACGAATCTCTTTTTAAGAATATTGGTGTGGGACCTCTGCAGCTTGTCTCATGAGGACATCTAGGCCACCACTGATTGCTGATTACCAATATTATGAGTCCTGACCCTTACACTGTATAATTTATATTGTACATTACATACTCCTGACCCCTGCACTATATACTCTATGTTGTACATTACATCCTCCTGACCCCTGCACTATATACTCTATGTTGTGCATTACATACTCCTGACCCCTGCACTATATACTCTATGTTGTACATTACATACTCCTGACCCTTGCACTATATACTCTATGTTGTACCTTACATACTCCTGACCCTTGCACTATATACTTTGTTGCACATTACATACTCCTGACTCATGCACTATATACTCTATGTTGTACATTACATCCTCCTGACCCCTGCACTATATACTCTATGTTGTACATTACATACTCCTGACCCCTGCACTATATACTCTATGTTGTACCTTACATACTCCTGACCCCTGCACTATATACTTTGTTGTACATTACATCCTCCTGACCCCTGCACTATATACTCTATGTTTATACATTACATACTCCTGACCCCTGAACTATATACTCTGTTATACATTACATCCTCCTGACCCCTGCACTATATACTCTATGTATACATTACATACTCCTGACCCCTGCACTATATACTCTATGTTGTACATTACATACTCCTGACCCCTGCACTATATACTCTATGTTGTTATACATTACATCCTCCTGACCCCTGCACTATATACTCTATGTTATACATTACATACTCCTGACACCTGCACTATATATTCTGTTGTACATTCCATACTCCTGACCCCTGCACTATATACTCTATGTTGTACATTACATCCTCCTGACCCCTGCACTATACTCTCTGTTGTACATTACATACTCCTGACCCCTGCACTATATACTCCATGTTGTACATTACATACTCCTGACCCCTTCACTATATACTCTATGTTGTACATTACATCCTCCTGACCCCTGCACTATATACTCTATGTTGTACATTACATACTCCTGACCCCTGCACTATATACTCTATGTTGTACATTACATACTTCTGACCCCTGCACTATATACTCTATGTTGTACATTACATACTCCTGACCCCTGCACTATATACTCTATGTTGTACATTACATACTCCTGACCCCTGCACTATATACTCTATGTTGTACATTACATACTCCTGACCCCTGCACTATATACTCCATGTTGTACATTACATACTCCTGACCCCTGCACTATATACTCTGTGTTGTACATTCCATAGTCCTGACTTCTGCTCTCCCCCCCCCCCCCCACTGCTATATATACACATAATATGGATTCTCTTTTGTTACACCCATTTCCTCTCAGCTGGACATTTTATATCGGATGATGTGATTGGAGCACAGACTTTTACATGGTGATAATAATGTGATAACATCCTCCAACTTTGGACCCTTAAACAGAAAGTGATAATGAGGGAGGAGTCAATACCCCAATGATGGTGGTCTTCAGGATCAATCCAGTCTTTCATCTTGGTTGTTCTCCCCCCATCCTCACTCTCTGACCTCTGGTGGGGCTCAGCCCCGCTGTTCTTCATGACTAAATCATGGACTAAATAAGGAAGTGCAGTACTTCTTGTGTTGGGAAGATGGCGATGAGTGATAGAGGGGGTGGGGACCCTCGTCCTATAATCCCCTCATCACTGTCCCTCCTATAAAAGACAGTTCTGGTTGTTTCCTCACTCTCTGACTAAGGTCCATGAATAAGAAATGACCTGGTAGGAGATCAGAGGAGCCATTTCCTAGTTCCCTTGAGGGTGGAATTGTAAGCTCCTCAGAGACCAAGCTGCCTGATGTGGGCGGAGTCCTGGTTTGGGGGAACCAATCAGCTCCTGTCTAGTAATCCTCTTTGTCTTTGTATTTTAGTCCATGGCCGGGAGATGAGGAAAACCTCTGAGGATTGTCTCACTTTGTCTCCAGACTGGAAAGTAGAAGATGAGGACATCACACAGTATAGTCCAGGAGAAAACCCGGCTCCCTCCAATGTCCATCCGGCACCACCCAGTGTAGATGGACCATCAGATTCCTCGGATCCTGAGGAACCTCAGACTGTGCGGGACCGGCCGGTCTTCCAACAGAGAAGAGCTTCTCCTGTACTGAGTGCGGGAAGGGTTTCCGTTATAAATCCCGTCTTAATAGGCATAAAAGATCTCACACGGGGGAGAAGCCGTATTCCTGTCCTGAGTGCGGGAAATGAAATTTTTTCAGAGAAGTCCAGTCTTTACATACATCAGAGATCTCACACGGGGGGGAGAAGCCGTATTCCTGTCCTGAGTGCAAGAAATGTTTTTCAGTGAAGTCCCATCTTTACACACATCAAATATCTCACACGGGGGAGAAGCCGTATTCCTGTCCTGAGTGTGGGAAATGTTTTTCAGTGAAATCCCATCTTTCCAGTCATCAGAGATCTCACACGGGAGAGATGCCACATTCCTGTCCTGAGTGTGGGAAATGTTTTTCAATGAAGTCCAGTCTTTACACACATCAAAGATCTCACACGGGGGAGAAGCCGTATTCCTGTCCTGAGTGCGGCAAATGTTTTTCACAGAAGTCCAATCTTTACATACATCAGGTATCTCACACGGGGGAGAAGCCGTATTCTTGTCCTGAGTGCGGGAAATGTTTTTCAGTGAAGTCCAGTTTTTACACACATAAGAGATCTCACACGGGGGAGAAGCCGTATTCTTGTCTTGAGTGTGGGAAATGTTTTTCAGTGAAGTCCAGTCTTTACACACATCAAAGATCTCACACGGGGGGAGAAGCCATATTCCTGTCTTGAGTGCGGGAAATGTTTTTCAGTTAAGTCCAATCTTTACATACAGTTGCAAGAAAAAAGTATGTGAACCCCTTGGGATTAATTGGAGTTTTCCATGAATTGAGCATAAAATGTGCTCTGAACGTCATCTATGTCACAACAATAGAAGAACACAGTCTGCTGAACATAATACTACACAAACATTAGATGTTGCCATGGTTTAATTGCACATAACATGTAAACATTCACAGTGCAGGGAGGAAAAAGTATGTGAACCTTTGGACTTAATGACTGATGGACCCTCCTTTGGCAGCCAATAACCTCAACCAAATGTTTCCTGTAGTTGCAGATCAGACCTGCACAATGATCTGGAGTAATTTTGGACCACTCCTCTTCACAAAACTGTTTCAGTGTAGCAATATTCTTGGGATGTCTGGTGTGAATCGCTCTCTTAAGGTCATGCCCACAGCATTTCAATTGGGTTGAGGTCAGGACTCTGACTGGGCCACTCCAGAAGGCGTATTCTGTGCTGTTGCAGCCATTATTTTGTTGAATTACTTGTATGCTTTGGGTCATTGTCCTGTTGCATCACCCATCCTCTGCGGAGCTTCAGTTGGCAGACAGATGGTCGTACGTTTTTCCTGCAAAATGTCTTGATAAACTCTGGAATTCATTTTCCCATCAATGACAACAATCCGTCCAGGCCCTGAGGCAGCAAAGCAGCCCCAAACCATGATGCTCCCTCCGACATGTTTTACAGTGGGGATGAGGTTTTGATGTTGGTGTGCTGTGCCTTTTTTTTCTCCACACATAGTGTTGTGTGTTCTTCCCAAACAACTCAATCTTGGTTTCATCTGTCCACAGTATATATTGCCAGTAGTGCTGTGGAACATCCAGGTGCTCTTTTGCAAACTCCAAACGTGCTGCAATATTCTTTTTGGACATCAATGGCTTCCTCCGAGGGTGTCCTCCCATGTACTCCATTCTTGTTTAATGTTTTCCTTATTGTAGATGTGTCAACAAAAATGTTAGCATGTGCCAGAGATTTCTGTAGGTCTTTAGCTGACACTCTGGGATTCTTCTTTACCTCATGCAGCATTCTGCTCTGTGCTCTTGCAGTCATTTTTACAGGACGACCACACCTAGGGAGAGTAGCAACAGTGCTAAACTTTCTCCATTTGTAGACAGCCTGTCTTACCGTGGACACATGAACATCAAGGCTTTTGGAGATACTTTTGTAACCCTTTCCAGCTTCATGCAAAGTCAACAATTCTTGATCGTAGGTCTTCTGAGAGCTCTTTTCTGCGAGGCATGGTTCAGAACATCAGACAGTGCTTCTTGAAACCAGTAAACCCAAAACAGGTGTGTGTTTTTTTAAGGGCAAGACAGCTGTCAGCAACACATCCAATATCATCACACTGATTGGAGAAAGGTTGGCTCACTCCTGGCTCCAGTTAGCTCTTGGAGAAGTCATTAAGCTAGGGCCTCACATACTTTTTCCTCCCTGCACTGTGAATGTTTACATGTTATGTGCAATTAAACCATGCCAACATCTAATGTTTGTGTAGTATTATGTTCAGCAGATTGTGTTCTTCTATTGTTGTGACTTAGATGACGTTCAGAACACATTTTATGCCCAATTCATGCAAAACTCCACGTAATCCCAAGGGGTTCACATACTTTTTCTTGCAACTGTACATCAGAGATCTCACACAAGGGAGAAGCCATATTCCTGTCTTGAGTGCAGGAAATGTTTTTTCAGTTAAGTCCAGTCTTCACAGACATGAGAGCTCACACATGAGGGAGAAGCCGTATTCCTGTCCTGAGTGTGGAAAATGTTTTTCAGATAAGTCCCATCTTCACAGACATGAGAGATCACACACAAGGGAGAAGCCGCATTCCTGTCCTGAGTGTGGAAAATGTTTTTCAGATAAGTCCCATCTTCACAGGCATGAGAGATCACACACGAGGGAGAAGCCGTATTCCTGTCCTGAGTGCGGGAAATGTTTTTCACAGAAGTCCAGTCTTCACAGACATCAGAGATCACACACGAGGGAGAAGCCACTTTCCTGTCCTGAGTGAGGGAAATGTTCCTCACTGAAGTCCTGTCTTCCTGTACATCAGGGGTCCACACACAACCCTGGAGGTGTATTAGTACCTTGAGTGCGAGAAATGTCTTCTAGATGAATGTTGCTGGACATCCCAGCTCTCATGTGGGGAAGAAGCACACCCTGATATACACCTCAGATATACTCCATGGCTGATATTCATCATGGGAAGAAACAGTTCAAAAGGAGATCAGAGGTCCTCAAAGACATGGATGAAGTGTGGGGCCTGGTTGACCATTGATATCAGGAGAAGAATAAAAATGGAGTCCTGCCCTAGATCACTGGGTTGGCTTTTATATATTATATACTAGAGATGGTTTGCGCCTACATGGAAGGGGGTCTGCTGTGCTGGGGGAGGGGTTTATGGGAAGGCTGGAGGAGTATATAAACTAGGATGGAGGGGGAGGGAGAATTCAATTATAACGGGGTAGACAGGTCAGTACTTATTGGGGGTGGAATGGGGAAAGATGGGGGGGAGGGCTATGGCAGATGATAAGAAGGTTCCCATGTTACAAACAACCAGTGGAAATTTATGTCGCTTTTTTCACACAAATAGAGCTTTCTTTTAGTGATATTTGATCAACTGTGCGCTTTTTATTTTTGGCGTTTGAAAAAAAAATATTTTCTCGTTTCTGTCATAAACAATATCTAAAAAAACTAAAATTGAATCATAAATTTAGGCCTAAATGTATTCTGCTCCATGTTTTTGGTTAATAAAATCCAAGTAAGTGAATATTGATTGCTTTGTGATAGTTATAGTGTCTATAAACTATGGGAGAGATAATGGAATTTACACAGCTTTTACTTTCTGACTGCCCATCACATTTCCTGAGGTGCTAAAATACCAGGATAGTACAAAAACACCCCCAAATGGCCCCTTTTCGGAAAGTAGACACCCTAAGCCAGGGGTGTCCAAACTTTTTTGGAAGAGTGCCAGATTTGATGTAGTGAACATGCGCGAGGGCCGACCATTTTGCCCGACATTCTGATGAACCATTAAAATTAAATGCAAAATGAACTATTTTATGCAAAAGTTTATTGAAAAGGGCATACTTTTCATTTTGTGACTTGGATGACAAATCTAAACAGGTGTTAAATCACTCTGCCTTTAATCTCTGTTTTTTTTACTTCTTTTAATATTCTGCCTTAATGGTGGCCCTTGTGGCTTTGTGTGGAGGCTCAGCACTCTCTTGCCGTTGGACTTGACGTCATCAGCCAGCACAGGGAGAAGGAAAGCCCAAATCTCGCGAGATCTCGGAGGTCGCGAGATTTGGGCTTTGTTTCTCCTTGCACTGTCTGATGACGTCAAGCGATCCTGAGCACCAATCCATTATAGCCCAAATTGATAAATGGTAGCCCCAGTAGTAATTCCCTGCGCACCACCTGGGATCCCTCGGCCCACATTCCGGACCCCACAGATGAGCTGCCCAATATATAACTTACAGCCCTCCACTAGTGATTCTGCGAACGCCACTGAGGACTCCAGGGATCTGTCGAGCAGGAATTGATGTCATCAGCCGGCACACAGAGAAGGAAAGCCCAAATCTCACGAGATCTCGGACGTCGCGAGATTTGGGCTCTCCTTCCTGCGCCAGCTGATGATGTCAAGTGCCGCAGCTAGAGATCGCTGGAGTCCTCAGTAGCTTTCAGGGAATCACTACTATCACTATATTTGGGTAGCTCACCTGTGGGGCCGTTTCAGTCCGGAACGCGGGCTGCAATTGGTCCGCGGGCCGGACTTTGGACATGCCTGCCCTAAGCTATCTGATGATAGGCATATTGAGTCCAAGGAAGAATTTTTTTTTTTATTTTTTACACAAAGTTGTCATTTAAAGTATATATTTGTCACACAAGCCATGGGTATATGTGGAATTACACCCCAAAATACATTCTGCTACTTCTACCGAGTATGGGGGGTACCACATGTTTGAGACTTTTTGGGAGCCTAGCCACATAAAGGAGCCTGAAATCCAATGACCACTTTGAAAGCCTGAAGGTGCGTAACTTCCTCATTACACTTCCTCACTACCTATCACAGTTTCGGAGGCCCTGACATGCCAGGATAGCACCAAACCCCCCCAATGACCCCTTTTTGGAAAGTAGACACCCCAAGGAATTTAAAAAGAGGCATGGTGAGTATTTTTCAGATCTCATTTTTTCTCACAAGGTTTTGAAATCGAAAAAAAAAAAACAAAAACATTTTTTCTTTTTTTTATATTTTCAAAAACTTGCGGCAACAAATGAGATCTACACTATCGGACGCTTCTCGGGGCTGCAGTTCCTCTGAGTTCCACAAGGTGGTGATCTCATTTCTACCCAGTCAGGAAGTCTCTATGGAAGACAGATAGGAAGTGATGTCAGGTACAGACAGGAAGTGATGTCAGGTACACACAGGAAGTGATGTCAGGTACAGGCAGGAAGTGACCTGGAATAAAGACAAAGTTCCATGTGGCACAAAGAAAAAGAGACATCGGTGGAAGTGGCAGCAGAGGAGGTAATAAAATGTTATTTACACCCAGTAACCCCCCGTCATGTCCGTCCTCTTCCTCCATAGTCACGTCCATCCTCTTCCTCCATAGTCACGTCCGTCCTCTTCCTCCATAGTCATTTCTGTCCTCTTCCTCCATAGTCACATCTGTCCTCTTCCTCCATAGTCATGTCCGTCCTCTTCCTCCATAGTCACTGTGACATCTTTTATCTCCAGCAGATGATGATACACACATATATAGTGTGGGGACCCAGATGAACCCCTTCAGGGGGAGGAGTTGATGATAATATATTTGCTCCCAAAGCTGGCCTACATGGTTCAGTTTTATCATTCAGCCAGCGGGATGAGAGAAAAAAATATTATTATTATACAGGATTTATGGCGCCAACAGTTTGCTCAGCGCTACAATATAATGGGAGACAATACAGCAACAATACAGATTAATACAAGAAGTTAGGAGGGCCTGATCCTGGGAGCTTACAATCTAGGAGGGAGGGGCTAGTGGTACAAAAGGTAGTAACTGTGGGGGATGGACTGGTAGGAGGAGTAGAATATTCCATTATTAGCTGAGGGCAGGATAGGCTTCCCTGAAGAGAGAGGATATCAGAGATCGCCTAAAAGTGAGCAGAGTAGGCGATAGTATGATAAATTGGGGTAGAGAGTTCCAGAGGATGGGAGAAGTCCTGGAGATTAGCATGAGAGGAGACAAGGGAGCTAGAGAGCTAGAGGTCTTGTAGGGAGCGGAGAGGACGGTTTGGGTGATATTTAGAGATAAGATCGGTGATGTAATTTGGGGCGGAGTTATAAATGGCTTTATATGTTATTGTTAATGTTTTGAATTTTATCTGTTGGGCAATGGGAAGCCTGTGGAGGGATTGGCAGGGAGGGGTGGAGTACACTGAGTGGAATTGGGCAGAGAGGTTTGGAGAAGACTGAGTGGAGGCCAGTGGAGTGATTGGCAGAGAGGGGTGGAGGACACTGAGAGGAGGCCAGTGGAGGGATTGGCAGAGAGGGGTGAAGGACACTGAATGGAGGCCAGTGGAGGAATTGGCAGAGAGGGGTGGAGGAAACTGAATGGAGGCCAGTGGAGGGATTGGCAGAGAGGGGTGGAGGACGCTGAGTGGAGGCCAGTGGAGGGATTGGCAGAGAGGAATGGCAGATACAGAACGGTTAGTAAGGTGGATGAGTCTGGCAGCAGCATTCATGTTAGACTGAAGAGGGGATAGCCTGCGATGAGGTCGGCCAATGAGGAGGGAGTTACAATAGTCAAGGTGAGATATAACAAGGGAGTGAATAAGTTGCTTAGTAGTTTCCGAGGTTAGGAACGGGCGTATCTTGGAGATATTGCGGAGGTGAAGTCTACAAGATTTGGACAGTGATTGGATTTGGGGCTGAAAGGACAGATGGGAGTCTAGGATTTACACCTAGTACCTGGAATGAGGGGAGGGGACTGATGGTTGTATTATTGATCTTGATGGAGAAGTCAGGGGAGGGGGCACGGGCTGGAGGGAATACTAAGAGCTCAGTTTTGGAAAGATTGAGTTTGAGGAAGTGGAGTTTACATCCATGCCGATATGTCCACTTAGTAGGTTAGTAATGTGAGAGGAGACTCTGAAGGGGCGAGGTAAGGGGTAGAAAGATAGATTTGTGTGTCATCAGCATAGAGATGGTACTTAAAGCCATTGTTGGGATGAGTACGGAGTAGTGGCCATTGGTTGGGATGAGTACGGAGTAGTGGCCATTGGTTGGGATGAGTACGGAGTAGTGGCCATTGGTTGGGATGAGTACGGAGTAGTAGTGGCCATTGGTTGGGATGAGTACGGAGTAGTGGCCATTGGTTGGGATGAGTACGGAGTAGTGGCCATTGGTTGGGATGAGTACGGAGTAGTGGCCATTGGTTTGGATGAGTACGGAGTAGTGGCCATTGGTTGGGATGAAGTACGGAGTAGTGGCCATTGGTTTTAGCAGTTAGTAGATCATTAGTGAGGTTTAGTAGGGCAGTTTCAGTGGAGTGTAGTGAGCGAAAGCAGGACTGTAAAGGGTGAAGAAGGTTGTTGTCGGTGAGGTGGGAGCTCAGGCGATTGTAGACTAAGCGTTCTAGGAGTTTAGAGGTAAATGGCAGCAGGGAGATGGGTCTTTTTAAGTTGTTCAGGTTGGTGGGGTCCAGGGAGGGCTTGTTAAGTATGGGAGTGATGTGCGCATGCTTTAGAGGGGAGGGGAAGGCACCAGTAGAGAGGGAAAGATTGAAGATGTGAGTGAGGGAGCATAGGATGGAAGAAGAGGGTGACCGTAGTAGTTGTGAGGGGACAGGATCCAGGGGGCAGGTGGTGAGACGGGCTTCTAAGAAAACCTTAGTGACCTCTCGGCAGTAGCGAGGTCAGAAGAGGAAAGTGTTGAGGGAGGTTTTGTATAGGTATTGCTAAGGGGGATGGATGTCTGTGCAGTGGAGATGCCCCTACGAATTGCATCAATCTTGTTTTTGAAAT